TTTTCAGGAATTTTTGCGATTTTTGCGATTTTCAGGCATTTTTGCAATTTTTGCAATTTTCAGGCATTTTTGCAATTTTTGCAATTTTCAGGCATTTTTGCGATTTTCAGGAATTTTTGCGATTTTTGCAATTTTCAGGAATTTTTGCGATTTTTGCAATTTTCAGGAATTTTTGCGATTTTTTCAATTTTCAGGAATTTTTGCGATTTTTGCGATTTTCAGGAATTTTTGCGATGTTTGCGATTTTCAGTCATTTTTGCGATTTTTGCAATTTTCAGTCATTTTTGCGATTTTTGCAATTTTCAGGAATTTTAACGATTTTTGCAATTTTCAGGAATTTTTGCGATTTTTGCGATTCTCAGTCATGTTTTGCGATTTTTGCAATTTTCAGTCATTTTTGCAATTTTTGCAATTTTCAGTCATTTTTGCGATTTTTGCAATTTTCAGTCATTTTCGCGATTTTTGCAATTTTCAGTCATTTTTGCGATTTTTGCAATTTTCAGGAATTTTTGCGATTTTTGCAATTTTCAGGAATTTTTGCGATTTTTGCGATTTTCAGGCATTTTTGCAATTTTTGCAATTTTCAGGCATTTTAGCAATTTTTGCAATTTTCAGGCATTTTTGCGATTTTCAGGAATTTTTGCGATTTTTGCAATTTTCAGGAATTTTTGCGATTTTTGCAATTTTCAGGAATTTTTGCGATTTTTTCAATTTTCAGGAATTTTTGCGATTTTTGCGATTTTCAGGAATTTTTGCGATGTTTGCGATTTTCAGTCATTTTTGCGATTTTTTGCAATTTTCAGTCATTTTTGCGATTTTTGCAATTTTCAGGAATTTTAACGATTTTTGCAATTTTCAGGAATTTTTGCGATTTTTGCGATTCTCAGTCATGTTTTGCGATTTTTGCAATTTTCAGTCATTTTTGCAATTTTTGCAATTTTCAGTCATTTTTGCGATTTTTGCAATTTTCAGTCATTTCGCGATTTTTGCAATTTTCAGTCATTTTTGCGATTTTTGCAATTTTCAGTCGTTTTTGCGATTTTTGCAATTTTTGCAATTTTCAGGAATTTTTGCGATTTTTGCAATTTTCAGGAATTTTTGCGATTTTTGCGATTCTCAGTCATTTTTTGCGATTTTTGCAATTTTCAGTCATTTTTGCGATTTTTGCAATTTTCAGTAATTTTGCGATTTTTGCAATATTCAGTCATTTTTGCGACTTTCGCAATTTTCAGGAATTTTTGCGATTTTTGCGATTCTCAGTCATTTTTGCGATTTTTGCAATTTTCAGTCATTTTTGCGATTTTTGCAATTTTCAGTCGTTTTTGCGATTTTTGCAATATTCAGTCATTTTTGCGACTTTCGCAATTTTCAGGAATTTTTGCGATTTTTGCAATTTTCAGGCATTTTTGCGATTTTTGCAATTTTCAGGAATTTTTGCGATTTTTGCAATTTTCAGGCATTTTTGTGATTTTTGCAATTTTCAGGAATTTTGCGATTTTTGCAATTTTCAGGAATTTTTGTGATTTTTGCAATTTTCAGGCATTTTTGTGATTTTTGCAATTTACAGGAATTTTTGTGAACTGCAATTTTCAGGCATTTTTGCAATTTTCAGGAATATTTGCGACTTTTGCAATTTTCAGGAATTTTTGGGATTTTTGCAATTTTCAGGCATTTTTGCGATTTTTGCAATTTTCAGTCATTTTTGCGATTTTTGCAATTTTCAGGAATTTTTGGGATTTTTGCAATTTTCAGAAAATTTTGCAATTTTTGCAATTTTCAGTCATTTTTGCGATTTTTGCAATTTTCAGGAATTTTTGCGATTTTTGCAATTTTCAGGAATTTTTGCGATTTTTGCGATTTTTGCAATTTTCAGTCATTTTTGCGATTTTTGCAATTTTTAGGAATTTTTGCGAAATTTGCAATTTTTAGGAATTTTTGCAATTTTCAGAAATTTTTGCGACTTGCAATTTTCAGTCATTTTTGCGATTTTTGCAATTTTCAGTCATTTTTGCGATTTTTGCAATTTTCAGGAATTCTTGCGATTTTTGCAATTTTCAGGAATTTTTGCGATTTTTGCGATTTTCAGGCATTTTTGCAATTTTCAGGCATTTTTGCGATTTTTGCAATTTTCAGTCATTTTTGCGATTTTTGCAATTTTCAGGAATTTTTGCGATTTTTGCAATTTTCAGGAATTTTTGCGACTTTCGCAATTTTCAGAAATTTTTGCGATTTTTGATATTTTCAGGCATTTTGCGATTTTTGCAATTTTCAGGAATTTTTGCGATTTTTGCAATTTTCAGGCATTTTTGTGATTTTTGCAATTTTCAGGAATTTTTGCGATTTTTGCAATTTTCAGGAATTTTTGTGATTTTTGCAATTTTCAGGCATTTTTGTGATTTTTGCAATTTTCAGGAATTTTTGTGAATTTTGCAATATTCAGGCATTTTTGCAATTTTCAGGAATATTTGCGATATTTGCAATTTTCAGGAATTTTTGTGATTTTTGCAATTTTCAGGCATTTTTGCGATTTTTGCAATTTTCAGGAATTTTTGCGATTTTTGCAATTTTCAGGAATTTTTGTGATTTTTGCAATTTTCAGGAATTTTTGCGATTTTTGCAATTTTCAGGAATTTTTGCGATTTTTGCAATTTTCAGGAATTTTTGCGATTTTTGCAATTTTCAGGAATTTTTGCGATTTTTGCGATTCTCAGTCATTTTTGCGATTTTTGCAATTTTCAGGAATTTTTGCGATTTTTGCAATTTTCAGGAATTTTTGCGATTTTTGCGATTTTCAGGCATTTTTGCGATTTTTGCAATTTTCAGTCATTTTTGCGATTTTTGCAATTTTCAGTCATTTTTGCGATTTTTGCAATTTTCAGTCATTTTTGCGATTTTTGCAATTTTCAGGAATTTTTGCGATTTTTGCAATTTTCAGGAATTTTTGCGATTTTTGCGATTTTCAGGCATTTTTGCAATTTTTGCAATTTTCAGGCATTTTTGCAATTTTTGCAATTTTCAGGCATTTTTGCGATTTTCAGGAATTTTTGCGATTTTTGCAATTTTCAGGAATTTTTGCGATTTTTGCAATTTTCAGGAATTTTTGCGATTTTTTCAATTTTCAGGAATTTTTGCGATTTTTGCGATTTTCAGGAATTTTTGCGATGTTTGCGATTTTCAGTCATTTTTGCGATTTTTGCAATTTTCAGTCATTTTTGCGATTTTTGCAATTTTCAGGAATTTTAACGATTTTTGCAATTTTCAGGAATTTTTGCGATTTTTGCGATTCTCAGTCATGTTTTGCGATTTTTGCAATTTTCAGTCATTTTTGCAATTTTTGCAATTTTCAGTCATTTTTGCGATTTTTGCAATTTTTCAGTCATTTTCGCGATTTTTGCAATTTTCAGTCATTTTTGCGATTTTTGCAATTTTCAGGAATTTTTGCGATTTTTGCAATTTTCAGGAATTTTTGCGATTTTTGCGATTTTCAGGCATTTTTGCAATTTTTGCAATTTTCAGGCATTTTAGCAATTTTGCAATTTTCAGGAATTTTTGCGATTTTCAGGCATTTTTGCGATTTTTGCAATTTT